CAAGATTATAATAACCAATCGGATAAAAAAGAGACACACCATTTCAGATGCCTATAAACCATACTCTACGTTGTACAAACTCCGTTCCTGGTATTAATATATAAGCAAAATTGGCTACCAGGTAGGTTTAGACCGCCATTTTTCGTATTTTCTAGGTTTTTCGTTTTTATTTCTTGGCTTACTTCGCATAATTTTGGTTTGCCGGTGTCACTGATTCTGCACTGCCTCAAAAAAGGCTTTGTGCTCAAAATGTAACACGTTAACATAAATAGTACGGTATTGAAACGCAGACATTTGAAACCATGATACGTACGTACGGTTTGTAAAAGAAAAAATTACTTCAAAACAAAGATAACCTCACACGAAAAAAGAACAATGATTACACTTACCCTAACCCTAAACATTGAAAAAGAGTTTACTTGTAAAGGATTAGGAAATCTCTTTTATTTGGCATGAGGGTGTAACGAATCATCGGTGTGGCGAGAAAAATTATCTAAATAATTATATTAAATAATGTTTATTCGCCACACAATGATTCGTCACATCCTTATAAAAATTGATATTACAAACCTTATGTACTATCAAATTTTTGCTCAACCTTCGTACATATTTGTACAATCGTACAGTACTACTCTGTAAGCACATGTGCAAAATTGTAATATATATACGTACGTACGTATATAACATATCCTGAAATTCCGCCTCAACTTTTACGCTGAGTATCTGCATAATGAGAAATTGTGAAGACTGGTTGCAATCTGTTGTCGAAGATTGTAGCATAAAAGAGATACCTTATAAGGAATTTAGTGATAAGAAAAAGATAAAAAAAGGAGGATTCGGAACAGTGTTTAAAGTAAAATGTGAATCTTTAGGAGATGTAGCCATTAAAGAAATGGCTGATACGGATACGGATACGGAAGAATATAGAAAAATTTTTATAAATGAGGTTTGTGATTTAAATAGTATTATTCGTTAATTTACTGATAATTATCAATCTTTTAAAATATTAATATATATATATTAGCTAAAGCAGCACAGCAGAGCTAAACATCCTCGAGTTATTCAATTTTATGGGGTCACTATAAGTAAGGCTATTTTATATATTTTATGATAATTTTTCCCAGTAAATTGATTAATTTTTTTTATAAAAATTTATAAGATAAGGACGAAGAAATACATTATCTTGTAATGGAATATGCAGATAATGGAAATTTAAGAGAATACTTAAAATTAAATCCAGAATGGCCAGAGAAAATAAGACTTACAATCCAAATAGCAGAAGGAATGCGATATCTTCATAGTATAGATATTGTACATCGTGACTTGGTAATGTAACTTTTATTTTTACCGCTCATTATTAAACATCCAATACTGTTGAAATTATGTGCAGAATGGTTCTTATGATTTATTGTGATCTTAAGGAGTATATTTATAGGTTTTATAAATGTAAAATCCTTAGCAAAACTGTAAATTGCAAAATCCGCAACGTTCCTGTGCAGAAATATTGACGTTATTAATTTCTTTCAATATTTCTGCACTCATCATCACGGCAAATTTATGAAATTAAGGTCACCAAATCTGAGTATCTGGATCTCCAATGTTAAATTTTATTTACCTAGTTAATAGATCAATGCTAAACCCAAGACAGTTTTTTGAACTTCTGATATTGATTTATAACACGTCTAACCTCTTTCCCACGTGATAACCATCTTCCCTAGTTTTGATATATCTTATTAGTCATAGGAATTTATTATAATGATTCATCCTAACTCGGGGATAGTAGTTATTTCAGTAAAAAATCATTATTCTTTTATTAGTGCTCAAAAATTTCAAATTTGGGATATTTCATAAATTCGCCGCAATGTAACAGTAAAAGATTAAGACGTGTAATTGTTATCATTAGATATCTTTTTTTGAATTCATTTAATAAGTGATTCATATCATGCATATTTATATTTAGCACACAGCAAATATTCTTATCCATAAAGGAGATGTTAAAATTTCAGACTTTGGATTTTCAAGAAAACTTTATAGTATGATGAATTCAAAGAGTAAAAATTTTTATGGTGTTGTTCCTTTTGTTGACCCTCGAAAACTCGATAAACTCGAATACGTGTGCGATAAAAAATCCGATGTTTACAGCTTCGGGGTACTTATGTGGGAGATCTCAAATGATGGATGTAGGCCATTTGCTCAAGAAGACTACAGAAAACTTGCAACAAGTATTATTGGAGGTTTACGCGAAACACCTGTTTCAGGAACCCCTCTTTATTTCGTTAAACTTTATTCTGATTGTTGGAATGATAAACCAGACAAACGTCCTTCCATGGAGGAAGTTTTTCGGCGATTGGAATCGAATTCCTCAAAATTAGATCCTAAATACAATGATACTGAGCAGGATTTTAAAGAAAATATTAATAATTCTGATTCTAAAAGCGATGAAATTGGGTTGTATTTGCCCACATTGTGCATCGATTCTTAATACATTAATATGACATTTATCTCATGAACTAGATAAAATAACTGGAAGTAAAAAGTTTGAATTGCATATCGACAGCGAAATCATGTAATGTTCATTAACATTTATTGTTTATCATTTTGACAAAGTTCTTTATACTTGCCTTCGCATTATAATCAATTGCATACACGATAAAGTAACGATTGTGAGTATTGAATTTTATATTAATGAGACTTCAATATTTTGCAACGACATTTTTTAAATTATTGTTCTTTTTATTTAAAAAACAAATTTTTATTTTATTAATTATAGACTCAACAACCATTAGGTCGTAAGTATGGAATTTATTGGCGGAGAATTATAATCAAATAATAAAGCTTTAATTAATTATTTAATATTAATTACCAGCGAGTTAGTAGATGATTTATTCTTAAAATTTGATATGCTTTAATACGCGCTGAGAATCGATAGTAACTTTTAGTTCTGATGAAAATTTATAGGAAAAATTCATCAATATATTGGCTTGAAAAAGCTATTTCAGAACAAAAAATTCTTAATTTTGAATATAGTGAATTCACAGACATTAAAAAACTTGGTGATGGTGTATTTAGTTCAGTTGAAAAATCGGACTGGAAAAGTTGTGGGTTAACAGTCGCTCTTAAAAGTTTAAAACTTGAAGCTGAAGGAAAGGAGATAGTTTCATTTGTGAGAGAGGTATGATAAATATATAGTTGATGAATTGCAAAAAAAGCCTTTACTATATCAAATTATAGGTCGTTAATAAATTATTTATATTAAATATAAGCTTCAACTTTTGCAAAGAGCAAGCTTTCATCCTAAAATAAATCATTTCTATGGTGTAACTAAAGGTTGGTATTTCACACATGCATATCATTAAATGAGTTTAAATTATAAACTGTCCACGACATTCATTCTTATAATAGACACCAATGGAAGTTATAAAATGGTCCTACAATTTGCCAATAATGGAAACTTGAGAGATTATTTGACTAAAAACTTTTCATCATTGACATGGGAAGATAAGTTTCGTATTGCGGGAGAAATAGCACAAGGTCTTGTGTTTCTGCATGCAAATAGTGTTGTACATGGAGATCTTGTAAGCATTTTTTTTTTTTTTTATTAACATTAATTTATTGAGTTAAGCCACTTTATTATTTATTATTAATTACCAAATTTTATCTAGCATCCAAAAAAACGTCTTGGTACACGATGATAAAATGCTGATCGCGGACTTTGGTTTATCTAAAGTATTAACAGTTGACATGTCTAAGTCAACTTCAAATATTGACAGAATGCCGGCATTTATTGATCCTCAATGTTTTAAGGACATCGGATATAAACGTACTACTAAATCAGATATTTATAGTTTTGATGTAGTTCTTTGGGAAATTTCAAGTGGTCGTAAACCTTTTGGATCATTATCAAGGATACAAACTGCTATTAAAATATATTATGGTGCCCGGGAGACACCTATTGAAGGCACTCCTCCTCAATATTGTCAACTATACAAGCGATGTTGGAATGACGATCCAAACGAACGACCGGAAATAAAAGAAGTTGTTAGTTTATTAAATCAACATATATCTCAATCAACAGGATCTCCTGTGAGCACGGAAGAATCATTAAGTGGATCACTTAAAAAAGCTACATCAGAAAAACTTATTAATTCCTATGACTATGATAAATTTAGTCAACTTACAAAAATTGCAGAAGTACTATTTAGTTCAGTATATAAATGTGAATGTGAATTAACTGTTGCTCTTAAATACCTTAAAGTTAATGATGAATATGTGGATGAAAAAACTGTTAGAAAATTTATTGAAATGGTATAATTTAATCATTGTTTTTATATATTTGATTATATTTTAATTTAAATAATAACTAGGTGTTAAATACTTTTCAAAGCTTCGATTTTTACAAAATAATGGCCATCCAAATATAATTAAATTTTACGGTGTAACTAAAGGTATTTTTTAAGTAACAATAATGATGTTATCTTATATACTAAATATGACTGTTTATCTTAATTAATATATAGATCCAAACCCTACTAATATTTATTATAGTATGGTTTTACAATTTGCAGATGGTGCAGATTTACGTGATTATTTGAACAAAAATTTTCTAGGATTAAAATGGTCTAGGAAACTACAGATGGCTAAAGAAATAGCCGAAGGACTTGGATACTTACACAAAAATGGTATTGCCCATCGTGACCTGGTAAAAATTATTTAATAATTTACTTACTATAATTTTATAATTCATGAATAATCAAGTTTATTAAATTTTTTATAGCATTCTAAAAATATCCTAGTCTGCGAAAGAAAAATGATGATTGGAGGTTTTGGTATATCTGAACAGGTGAATGATGCATCTCTTTCAGCTTCAATTGCTCGGGGATTTCCAGCATATATCGATCCACAATGTCTTAAAGACCCCCACTATAAACGTGATATGAAATCGGATATATATAGTTTAGGCGTTATTTTTTGGGAGATCTCAAGTGGACAACCACCATTCAAAGCGATTGAAGTTGGATTATCAATTACCATTCATGTGTTTAATGGAGGAAGAGAAACTCCTGTCGAAGGTACTCCACTTCAATACGAAAAACTTTATAGACAATGCTGGGATGATGATCCTGAAAAACGTCCGAAAATAATGAAAGTTCTTGAAAAATTAAATCAGATTACTGGTGATGGGTGTTTAAATTTATAATTTTCTTAATTTCATAGCATTAGAAGTATTAATTTTCTTAATTTCATAGCATTAGAAGTATTAATATTAAAGATTTTTAAACAGCCTTATTTATGGTAGATCTCATTTATGTGCAAAAATATTGATTTAACAATTCTAAAAATTTTAAAAAGCTAGAAAAGTATATATATATATATTTCCTTAATAATGCAGAAATATTGTTTTGAATAAATTAGAACGTTGTAGCACGTACTATTTTTAATTTTGTAAAATATAAAAGCGAAGCTCTTTTCCTTGAAATAAATTTAAGTGTAGTGTTTTGTATAGAACCATCTGATTTTAGAAAATATAAAGATTGTTAGACTCAAAATTCGTACCTAAGATTATTTAAGTCGTATGATATACTGAGCAAATTATGTATAAGCCGGAGAAACGTAACCTTTTGAGCTTTTCAAGACCTATTTGATACACAAGCTGCAAATATTTTTGACCCAATTTACGGGCCGTGTATAATAATTTTTCTTAAGCAATCAAAAAATCAACTTCGCCTAAAGTAATTTTGCAAAAGCTAGATTTAATTTTGCGGGATGTTGATCCTTGATTATTATTGTGATTTCGAGGATTAACCGTACGAGATTGTATATATATGTTAGTTCGTACTATGAAAACTATTTCTGATTCTTTTAGTTTTTATGAACAGATGCATTGATAATTAGAATTAAAAATTCAGTGACATGAGTGATTAATAATAATAAAAGGTGCGAGACCCGAACAAAGTCAGCCGAGATCTATTAGAAAAAAAATTTGCTAATACAGTCGAATCTTTCTCTGTCCTAAAATTTTGAGTTATACGGCGAAATTTAATGTTTTGGGGCATCGCACATTTTGGTGTAACTCAAATTTGTGCTGTTTCTTTTTAGGACAAAAAGTTTATACGTTATGCTGAACTGTGACACACACGTTTGATCTGATCTAGCTTATTTGGATAAAAATTTTCTTAAAAATTTTTTTTTATTTATTTAATTTTTAGCCCCGATAAAATGGACTAAGAGAGGCTATTTAGACACATGTATACCTGCCGGATATAATGCATTTAATTTTACAAATTTGTAATATTCATTTAAGGTTGTCAAGATATCTTTATATAATTTTGAAGCATTCTATATTTAGAATGTACGAATAAATTATTACTTTTATTAGAGTTGCAGCTGATGCAGAGATCTGTAGTCTTAATTTGAGCCCATTAAGCCTACTAAATCCACATACACATTTCATTAAAACTATATGAATTCTAACCTAATTTTAAAAAGAAGCTAAAAAAAAGATCAATTCTTAGCATCGGCTTCAGTCACATCAATAATTAATTATAAAAAAAACTAAACTGAATTTGAGTATTTCCGAGTGAAAACCTGCAAATCTGCTTAACGCTTTATTATGGTCATTACACGTTTTCATTCTGCAAAAGTCATATATTATAATGTATGTTTTTTTTTCGATATTGATTAGAAATGGTTAGCACCTCTCTAAATTATTAAACCAAATTTCTTAATTCTCTAACATCCATCTTATATAAAAAATTTTTATAAATAAGTTTTGAGTTATTTATGTTATAAGTGGGAACGGAATTTAAGTGGATTTGGAGTTTCTTAAAGTTAATAAAATTATGATTTTAGGTAGAATTGGTTTTATATAAACCTATACCATAACCCTAAAATTCCAAATTCAATTAAATCCCGTTTCCACTTACAACATATATAAGGGAAAAATTATATGGGACAAAATTTTAAGGTTCTATATGCTATTATTCGAATCATTATCCAAGTTTTCGATAATTTGATTTAAATCTTCAAGAACTGACCCTATATTTGGGCGTTCTTTAGGGTCTTCTTTCCAACATTGTTGATAAAGTTGTTGGTATTTAGGCGGAGTGCCTTCAACAGGACTTTCTCTCCCTCCATTAAACACATGAATAGTAATCGCATATCCAACTTCAAAAGTTCTGAATGGCGGTAGGCCACTAGAGATCTCCCAGAGAACAACTCCAAGACTATATATGTCCGATTTCATATCACGTTTATGGTGGGGATCCTTAAGACATTGAGGATCAATATATGCTGGCATTCCACGAGCAATTGAAGTTGAAATCGATGCTTCATTCACATATTCAGATATACCAAAACCTGCTATTATCATTTTTCCTTCGCAAACCAGGATATTCTTAGAATGCTATAAGATAATTATATTAGCTAAATATGCCTCTATAAAAAAATATATAAATTTGTAAATAATTCTTACTATGTCACGATGGGCAATGTTATTTTTATGTAGGAACTCAAGTCCATTTGTTATTTCTTTAGCCATTGATAATTTTTTGGTCCATTGCAATTTGGAATTATTTTCTTTTAAATAATCACGTAAATTTCCTTCGTTTGCAAATCGTAAAACCATAGCATAATACTCGCCAGAAGGATCTATATGATGTATTTATCGAATACTTAGGTAAGATTAACTGTTTAAATAATAATACAAGTTCCTCGATATAACAAAAAAAAAACAATATATTGGGAGATTCCTTATAGGTTGGATTAATTTTTAAACTTGAAAATTCACTATATCAGGATAATTGTACCTTTTGTTAATCCGTAGAATTGAACAATATTTGGATGAAAGTTGTTTTGCAAAATTTGAAGCTTTGAAAAATATTTATGTTTGATTATTATTTAAATATTATAAAATGAAGTAATAAAAGAAAAATTATACCTCATCAATGAAGTCTCTAACAATTGATTCATCCAAATATTTGTCATTAACATTAAGACCTTTAAGAACAACAGTTAAGTGGCGTTCTTTCCATTCGGATTTACATACTGAACCTACTGATCCAAAAATTTCCTCGACTATTTTTTTATGATCACTAAAAACATGAGGTTCATGATAATGTATTATTTGTCTCAAAAAAGCTTTACTAAGCAGTCTTTTAAAAGAGCTTTCTTCATTCACTTGAGAATCTACTGGTTTATATATTAGTTGATTTAAAGAATCATGAATCACTTCAATTCCTGGACGAATATCTGGATTATCATCCCAACATTGTGTATAAAGTTTAGAATACTCAGGTGGAGTGCCTTTAACAGGTGTTTCTCTCGCATCATTGTAAACTTTAATAGCAATTTGTATTCTTTTTAGCGAAGGAAAAGGCTTATGACCACTTGAGATTTCCCAAAGAATAACACCCAAACTATAAATATCAGACTTGACAGTGCGTTTGTAATTGCTGACTTTAAAACATTGAGGATCAATAAATGCAGGCATTCCATTAACATTTGAGTTAGAATCTAATACGTCATTAGTTACTAGTTTAGATAAACCAAAGTCAGCGATCATCATTTTCTTATCATGAACTAGAATGTTTTTTGGGTGCTATAAAATAAGTCAATTATTATAAAATAACTGTCTAATACATTTAAAATTAAATTATGAAAATACTTGCAAGATCTCTATGAATTATATTATTACGATGCAAGAATAAGAGACCTGATGCTATTTCCTCAGCAATACGAAACTTATCATTCCATTGCAATGCTGAAAAGTTTTTGCTCAAATATTCACGCAAATTTCCATTATTAGCAAATTGAAGAACCATTTTGTAACTTCCATCAGATGGATCTAATTATCAGTTATAAAATAGGATATAAACACTTTGAAACATATTATAACATAGTTATAAATTTCATGCAAATACCTTTAGTAATTCCATAGAAATGATTTATTTTAGGATGGAAACTTACTCTTTGCAAAAGTTGAAGCTTTTCATAAATTTAAAGAATTCAAGTCAATAATATTAAAGAAATTTTTAACTAAATGCTAAGAAATTTCTCATACTTCTTTAACAAATGCTTCTATAGTTCTTACTTCTGGATCAACTCTTAAACTTTTAAGAGCAACTAATAACCCACCACTACTCCATTTGGACTTACTTACAAGACCAAATCCGCCATCACTAATTTTTTCATTGCCTTCGAAATCATTATAGTAGAAATAATTAATGTTACCTTCGCTAATAGCTTTTTCAAGCCATTCGATTGAATATTTATCAGTTTCAACCATCGTTTAACATACAAAGACAGACGTTTTACAATGAATGGTTTTTATATGTAAATCTGCATAGGTTCCGAGTTCCGAAAGTAGGGCTTGATTGCCTTATTTGAAAGTTTCTGTACATCGATATTACAACAATGAATTGTGTAAATTTATTTCGAATCTTTCCATTTCAAGTCGATTTACTTCGGTTAATTTCTAGATCAGTACTCGGCTAAAAAGTTTGTCACACGAAGCTAACTTAATATTTAGCTGCCACACCAAATTTTTGTCACGGTAGATTATCGATTTTGATTTGTTGACACCCGTGATCTACAAAATTTTGGCTCGCGTTACATAATTGTTTACACGGCATCACGCATAAGATTTTAATGAGAATCGTGTGTACGGTGTTTGTGGCGCAGACAAAATTCTTAAAATTCGGTAGGGGTCAGGATTAGGAGTTAAAGAGGGTAGTTGTAATAGTAAAACTGTCCAACAAAAACTTTCTGTCAGAGCACAAAAGGTGGTTTCTTATGCATATGTTTGTGTTATGGTGACATATGATTCGTAGTTTAGAAGCAAACCCGGTACAGATTTCCGAGTGCGATTATAATTATGGATAAATGTCTATGAGCTAGTTATACACTGGATTTATATGACTTATGTTACATAAAAAATATTTAATTATGCTAATGGTATAAAGCAAAATATGGTATTATTTTTTTATCTAAAGAGCTAAAATCACAATTAAAGATTATTAACCACAAGTGATGCTAATGATCGTAAAATGGCCACTTGAGTACCAATTGTATTTCAAAGTAAAAATAAAAAAAATTTGTATTCATTCAACATAATTTAAATCAATAAGATTTAACATTTATTTGGGTTAAATAATAAATTGTTAGTGTTTATTATGTTTTTAAATTAACCTCTTCTCATGGCTCTGTTCAAAAAATTCTAACAATAGCAACTAGTTAATTTTAAACGGTTTTAAATAGAAAATTGTAGAATAAGTCTGCCAGGAAACTTTGATTAGAACTACAGTTACAATGTAATTAACTTCTAATTAATAAATTAATAAATTCATTCTTATATATGTAGTTAAAAAAAAGTAATATTTATGATGAAATTTATTTATAAATTACCATTTTTAATTTGGTCGAAAAAAAACTAGTATTAAGTGAAGTTTTCTTAAATGTTTATTATACATTGAACCTATAGGTATCTGCAATTATATTTCACTTAACATTATGAAGAATGCTTGAACGAACGGATAAATAAGTAATTTTTTCACATAAATCTAATAAATGTGAATTTAGTGGTCTATAAATGAATTCTTCAGGACCAATATTAACAAATCCATGATGTTCACAATCTTTTTTAGTACAAATTTGGTTTGCCAAAATTGGCCTTTTTATATTATTAAAGGATATATTGTGTCTACTATCTTCAGGATGTTTGGCATGAGATAAATCTGATGAATATTCATTCCATTTAACATCCATTTGACCAAATTCACAATCTTTGGAAGAATTAGCAATAGCACTATATTTATATATAAAATTATTAAGAATAAAAATTAAAAATTAAAAAAAGGAGAAATTGTGAAAAGTTTTATTTACCATATGTATATTGACAATTTTTGTAAATCTTCAACATCAATTTCGAGACAATTTTTGTTGAACTTATAAGAAAACATATATGCCAAACCTTCACGGGATTCATTTAAGAAAGCAAAATGAGATCCAACAACCTTTTTTGTACTTTTTGGATCATGTTTGATAGGATGCGGTGATTTTGGATACGATCTTCGTTGAATAGGAGGCTTGTTTGGAACTAACCTACAAGTGTACAATATACAAATATTTTCACAACCTTGAACTTTTACATCATAGCAATTTATGGTATTAGAAACTGGTTGTATATCTTTGAATGGCAGTGAATACCATATTAGGTTAATATTAAGATTTTTGGGTGGACCAACAATAATCCAACCAAGCGTGGCCGTGGATTTTTTAAAAAAAATATCACTTCGTTGAATTTGATGAATAACAATTACTGGCCTTTTCATATTCCCATCTTCATAATCTATATATAAAGAAAATGCGTTTTTGTTTTCTTTACTCATAATTGAAGCAAAAATCTTGCATTTGTCAATCTCTATTTCACCTAAATGTTGATGCAAAGGATAAACAGTTGGTATGTGTTCTTTAGAATAATTTGAGGAGACTGTGAATTCTTTAACGCCTGCTATTATGTATAATGATAAATTAGATGAGCTGAAAATAAAAATTGAAACTATGCAATCAAATTAAGCTATACCTTTTAAAATTTGGTCGCCATAAACATTTAAAACTTTATTTTTCAAGTTATCATCTAACAATTCAAATATTGGTCTAATATCATCGTAACTGACTACCTTCCAAGTAATAGCTTCTTTGAGTGATTTTTCCCAAACTTTGATATCAGATGCATCCTCGTCCCCGCCATAAATACGTTTATCATTAGCAATTATATTAAAGCCATTTTTGGATCGAATTTTTTTTCCAGTCGTGTACGCTATGCCTGAACTACCAGAAACAACATTAGGCATGGTCAAATTTATTTCAGCATGTATTTCAGTAGTATTATCTTTAGAATTTTCAACTAAAAAAACAAAAACAAACAAACAAAAAAAAAATTAGAAAAAAAGAGAGGAAAAAGACATTGAATGATTGAGCTAACCTGAATTAGATTTATGCGTTTCATTTGTAATAATGGCACCTCCAATATAAAGATGGCGTGCATAAAAGTGGCCATATTTCGCAAATACATTACGGAGTTTATCTATCTTATCATGCGCGGTATCTTCTAATATTATTCTAATTTCTTCACTAAATTCATTTGTTCGTTTAATACTTTCCGAAATGTCAACTATCAATTTTACACGTATCTCGCTTGAATGTCTTGTGAATGTTGTATGGTGTTCAGCCGCTTGCTTGGAAATTTCATGTGATAATCCGATAGAAGCAGATAACAAGTTTAAATTACCCGAGATTTGTCCGTTTATTATAAATCCTCGCTTACATTCTGCTATATCTTCATGCTCGCATTCTGACAAATAATTTTTATGATATGATCCTTTGTTTTGTTCAATTTTTTTAATTTTTTTAATATCAATTTCGAAGGCCTGGCTTGCAGCATTTCTTATAGAACCGTCTTTTTTGAATATAAATCCTTTTTCATGTTTTAACAAAGTATAATCGAAATCCTCTGTCTCTTTAATGTATATAATGCACGTTAAATCCTCTTTTTTAATAATTTCTGATAATTTTATTTTAGGTTCAGCTTTTGTACCAATCTGGGCTCCACCTTTCATAAAATAACAATTTGATCCCATATGAAGATCACTAGCATTAAGCCGTTGTACATTTTCAAGATAAGTTCGAATTTGATCAAGTTTTGCATTCTCGACCTCAGGTAATAATTCAAATAATTCCCAATAATCATTCTGTTCATTCTTTGCATTTGTTTTACAAATTTTATAAAGTTCTGACATAATTAGTTTTTAAATTTCTACCAAACAAGGAAGTTTAAAACTGAGGGCTAATCAGATGTGTTAGTTTAATAATAAGTATTTATTTAATTTTGTTAAATGAATTTAGTCTGAATATTAATGAAAGACAGAATATTCAAGTACTTTTTTGTATGTTTAACGTCGTATGGAGGAACACTACGCAAACGCAAAAATTAAGATACGTATTACGTATGTGTGCAAGTTTGTAAAAATAAATTTCATATTTGTGCAGAAACTTTAAAAAATTTTAGAAATCAGATATGTAAAATTTGGCTCATTCAAGTGTAACCTTATTTTTTTTTTAAAAAAAAAGAGACTAAAATTAGTACTAGGTAACATAGTTTTTCCATTAACGTTAAGCAAAAGGCTGAAATATCAGCCCTAATTTGTAATAATGTAACCTGCGGGTGGTACCGATGAAATTTTCATTGAGAATCTTTTAATGTTACATATTATGAAACTTTTTACTTGCAAAATTTTAATGTAAGCTATCGCAAATAAACTAATAAAAAAAATCCATGTATATACATACGTACGATTATTTTTTGTTAAAATAAAAATATTACATTCTACTCTTATACATTTTATCTTCATTTTAATTGTTAATGGAAGAATCAGAAATATATAATTGTACTGAAAACGGCTTGATTATTGACTCACACGGAATACATTTTGCAAAAGAATGCAGTCTTGAATTGCAACCAACTATATGCTCAGATGATTTAACAAGCAATTTTCAAGCCAAACTGGTTGTTTCCGCAAAACGTTATGATTCTTATTTGTTAGAGTATCACATTCATCCATCAGCTATCAAGTTAAAACAATGTGATTGGATATTTGAGAAGACTTCAGATTTTTTAGAAAATATTCTAACTGATGTTTATCTGGAAATACAATGTCCCCGGGTCGAATTGACTTTAAGAGGCAACATAAAACCTTCTAAAAAGTTGTTGCTTGAAGTAGAAAATGCATTGAAGCATTCAGATTCTTCTCATTCTTACCGTGATTTAGTGAAAATATTTAGAACTTATGGCCACTTCTTACCTAGAAAAGTTATCCTTGGATATAAAATATACCAATTACATAATTTAGCTATAAATGAAGAGTTATCTGAAGAGTCATCCGAACAAATTCAAGCTGAATGGACGTCCTATGAAGATTTCAATGTCAATCACAGTAATATTTTAAATAAATGGGAAATTCTTATAAAACACTATAATTTTGATGTATCTTATTTAGTATCAATTAGTGGTGATGTAATTATGAGAGAAGAACTTAAAGAATGGATGGAAGGATGTTTAATGGGTGATAACCCGTTACAGATCATATCGTGGAACGAACTCTATCCATTATATGATATATTTGATGAGACTCTTTGTAAAAATGTCAAATCTACACTCGGTATCGATGAGCAAACAGAAAACTTCGGCATTAAGGAAAAGGTACTCATGACAGGAGCAATACCAATTGAAGTTTCTGAATATTATTACCGTGTAAATTTTTCCAGTAAATTGAATTCTATCAATTATCAAATATTTGGAAAACTTATGACAGAAGATGGAAACCCAATTGATAAAGCCATTATCAAATTCGAATATATGGATATACATGGATTCTCAGTAAGAATTAAAAATTTAGATCTTGATGTAATTGGGCAAGTATTATATTGCTTTTTTCAAATAAAGCAAAATATTTTTTAATAAATTGCCAACTTTTTTTATTTAAATTTCAGAAAGTCTACTCACTCACGAATAACTTGGTTAATGATTGGAAATCCTATTGAAATAATAGGTCATTATAATCAAAAAACACGAATCATTACAGTACTTTCTTTAGACAATACTTCTCGGACTAATATAACTAAACGGGATATTCAATTAAATATACCAAAAAATTTGCCAGAAAAATCAATTCTTATTACTTCAGTCATATATTCCTTATCAAATTATGAACCAAATTTTGTAACTACGATACAGAATTATGATTATGATAAAATTAACATCACTATTTGTGATTATAGCGATTTGGACGATGATGAGGAAGAACATCTAAATAAACTGGAATATTCAATTCAATGGTGCATTCTTCAAATACCGGAGGAACAAGAATTTCGCGATGAATCTGGCTCCATAGTGACAACGACTCATTTAAGGGCAATGGGTCAAATCATTGATGGTACAGAAGTTGGAAAAGGTGATAAACAGATTTCTGATAAAGCAGTAAAAGAATCAAATATCACAAAGTATTAATTCCATTTATTATTAAGAATAAGCATTTCAGATTACTAAGCTTATTATTCTTGCCTATCTGTCATATAATATTAAGAAATCAACAAGGCAAAAAAATAATTAAATTCATTGAAACATCTGCAATCGAGTATACCACATCCAAAGGTAAATAAAATACTTTTTAGATACTCTTTAATAGCATCAAAATATTCGCATTAATGGGGAATTTTCTCTTCCAAAAACAATTTATTCGAATACAGATAAGAAACACGGATATACCACACCCGAAGAAGGTAAATATAAAAAACTTCAGACCCTTATAGAACTATTATTACGTCATCATCAGTGTTGTCAATTTCTTGTTCTATTGATAAAAACTATATTCTATTTTAATATTGCTCTATTCTATTATTCTATTGTTCTATTTATTATTGCTATATTAATATCTAATTATAATCTTGTTGCCAAATTTTTGTTCTATTGACAAAAATTTTATTCTATTCTAAATTCTATTACTCTATTCTATTGTTCTATTGTTATATTCATCTATTACTGCCAACACTGGTCATCATGTTAGACGAAGGCAATGAAAGCAATGAAATTATCAAATTTAGAGATTATCTTAATGCTGTCTTTGATAAATCAATTCGTGAACTAAATCTTAGCCTATCTGAAGACAAAAGAGACGAAGTGGAGCTTATTACTGATGGATCCCTATCTGAAGATGAAAAAGACAAAGCGGAGCCTATTATTGATGGATCCATATCTGAAGATGAAAGAGATGAAACGGATCCTTTTATTGAAAAATTATATTCAGAAATTGTCAAAACATGTAATGAAGGTAAAAATATCCCCGATACAATAGAAAGGATTCTATCTGAGAATGAGAAATCATCCCAAGATGTTTTCGAATGGTTATTATCACATCAAAATAAGCCAGAAAACATTTGTATTCGAGCATTATTTCATTATTACAAGATTGGGGGACAAAGTGATAAGGATGTGTATGAATTATTTTTAAAAGCAGAGAATGAAAATATTATTGCAAAATACTTTGTCGGGAAATGTCTTGAAGAGGGCCGGAATGTTAAAAAAAGCAAAACTAAAGCAATTAATTATTATGAGAAAGCCGAAGCCGGTAACTGTGCCGCTGCAGGATATGCAATTGGGCTACATTATTTTAAGCAACATAAATATAGCAAGGCATTTACATGCTTGAAAAAGTCGGCAGAAGGAAATAACATGATGGCATTGAATCTATTAGGGTTATGTTATCAAAAATCTTTTGGAACAGGTATTAAATATGTTGAGGCATTTAAATGCTTTCTCAAAGCTGCTGAAATGGGACTACCGGAATCACAATATAGACTTGGAAAATGCTATGAAATGTCTGAAGGAACCAAAGGAGATTTGGAACAAGCATTACATTGGTATCAAATGGCTATGGACAATGAATATCAATGTTACAATGACTTTCAGAGAGTAAAGATTGCAAAAAATCAAGAATTGGAGTCAAATAGCCGAACACTACTTTAAAATAATTTTTTTTTAAATATTTATACTCTATTAAGCAAATAAAGTAGGTATTTTTTTTATTTTAAACTATAATATTTAACTTACAAGAACTAAATAGTTAATTGCTAGAAATTTATACCAACTAATTTGTAGAGCTGAACCTTTTTTTATGTCATTTAAATAATAGAAATATCAAATTTAGGTCATAAAATCCATACATAGTTCTTTCATATTTCTGATTACACTGTAGAAAATTGCATTCATTACCTCATAAAATTGTACTTAAGAATATGACCCGGAAATAATCTAACTTATGTCCAAGTTATAATTCATGCTTGCAAGTAGGGTTGTCAATGGGGTGGCATTAGAGATGGGTTTCATGCGTGCGCATGAATGCGGAAACATGCGCATTAATGCGCATTCATGCGCATGATTCCGTTTCATGCGCATTTTATCCCATCAAGATTTCTC